TGTGTGTGTGTGTGTGTGTGTGTGTGTGTGTGTGTGTGTGTGTGTGAGTGACTCGTGTGTCTTGGGCTCACTGCTTCACCTCCCTGTGTGAAATCCTTTCGGTTGTGGTTTGGTCCTCAGCAGGTCTCTTTTATCGATCCTCGTCTGCTCTGTACTGGAACATTTCCTCTGTCTCTCTCTGGCTCTGGAAGTTTGTCTTGGGTCTTTCTGCATCTGTGCTGTTGAAGTTGTTCAGGGTGGTCTCTTTGACTGTGTTTCTGGGTTCGTCCGCAGGGTGTGTTTTGTTTGTTATCCACTTGCTTTCTCAGTCTATTTGGAATCTGATCTGTTGTGCTCAGTCTAACAGTTTTGGTGGTGCCACCTTTTACTAGTGATCAGAGGTGTGGACTACACTGGACTCTGACATCAAAACGCACACGCAGCCCACACGACTGATTCATAAAAAAAATTGCCAGATGCTCATATGGACACTGAAACAGATGATGACAGGAAACCTTAAAAGACCAGTAAGAAAAAGTGAGGATATCAGGATACCAAATCAGTTTGAGTGTTCATATGAATGTTAGATTATTGTTGTAACTTTAAGTCCTTTGACCTGAAATGACTTTATATCACCTCAACCCAAAGACTAAAGCTGACCTGATCAATATAATCACATTATGACCATTTCAGAGTTTCCCTATTAAGACAAACTCAAGGGGTCAAGAGTCTTCATTTGCCCTCAGCTCTACGAAGCGTTTTTGCAGACTTCAGATCATCAGTTTGGATTTAAAAGCTTTGCTCTTACAAGCTGCTGACATCAAACTTGAAAGCATGAAAAACTGAATCAGTTAAATCCCAAAAGGTTGATTCTGTTCACCTGACCGCAGCGTTTTCAGCAGGAGTCACTCATCCAGGTGACTTCTTCAGTCTCAGCTGACTGCAGGTTTCCCCAACCTTATAAACAGTACATTTGCACAATAACTGAAACCAGCCCAATAAATGAACAATGGGCTGTGAGGTCAGTTCCTTGATCATTAATGCACAAATTGTCATGACTATTGATCAAAGACCATGAGTACCATTTACAGAGAGTTAGGGACTAGTAAAGCGCTATACAAATACAGGCCATTTACCATTCCCCAAGGACCCCAAAGCGCTCTACACATTCAGTCATCCACCCATTCACACACTGGTGATGGCAAGCCACCCTGGGGCCCATTGACAGAGGCGAGTGGAATGGCTGCAATCTCAGCATTTTAAGATGGCAAAAGATATACCCTTAGGGCCCCCCTCCCCCTTTCCCTTTCCATGTAAATGGCTTTCTTGACTCTGCACTCAAACCAGCGTTCCTCCCTGTCCAGGAAGTGTACATCCTCATCCAGATGACCAGAATCAATCTTTAGGATTTACTTACCTGGATGATTCAGGATCAATCAGTTAAAGTGTCATGACTGTGGACATGTATAATCAGTCCATCATTGGTCATTTACACTGCAGAAAAAGAGTAGCAAGTGGAGCTGAGGCCTATAAACTTTAAGCCAAAAACACCAGACCGCAGCTCATTGAAGGAGGTTTTCAGGATATTTTAGTATTTTATGGACTGATTTTGAATTCATCACATGATTTTGCACGTTGAATTTGACTTTCTAGACTTCAGGCACTAGACACTGACTTTGTCCCACCTCTGGCAATGATCAAACTGTGTCTTTGCTTGTGTCACAAGTATTTGCCTCCTCCTCTACGCTTCATCTTTGTGCTTTTTCTAACATAGATGTTCTGATTCCTTGTTGTCAACCCTCTGTCTGAACCGCCTTTTTAAAAAACAAACAAACCTCTTTTACAAATACGCTCTAACTTTATTCTCTTTCTTCCTTCTTTCTGTTTTTATTTATTTATTTTTTTGTGCGTGTGTGTGTCAGAAAACACGCAGAGACGTCTGCAACTTCGACAAGGAGTTTACAAAGATGGTGGTGGAGCTGACGCCAACAGACAAGCTCTTCATCATGAACCTTGACCAGAACGAGTTTCAAGGCTTCTCCTACACCAACCCAGAATTCATCATACAAGTCTGATGACTTCCGGCTGGTTAGAGGCCGGACTTTACTCCAGCTTGTACAGCCCAGCCACATTTCATTAAAGACCCATCCAGCATCAGATCAGGACTCAGAGCCGCGCCGTCTTCAGTCTCGACCCACACCAGCATCTAAACTGGGCAATCATAAACCGTCACATTAGCTCCACAAACACACAGACAGCAGTGTGAAACAAAGCCCGCTGGTTGCCAGTTTCCAGAAAACTCCAGGTGGTTAGCATTCCCAGTACCTCACAGTGAGCCGGTCAGTACGAAGAGCGGTGATCAAGAGTCACAGTGAATGTGCTAATAGTGTGTATGTGCTCTATTGATCACCAACAAGAGTGTCTGTTTACTTGATTTTCTTCTCTTCAGCCTGTGGAAGTTGCATCATGAGCCTGCAATGATCAATATGTACATGCTCACTCACACACACGTGTGTCTGTGCAGGCTGCGGTTTGGAGCAAGGTTGGTTTTGAATTCAAAAAGCTCTGATTTATAACCTCATGTCTAAGTTAGTCCTGAACTTAGTCTTAAGCACGTTTCGTCTTCCAAATTGATGCAAAAAGAAAAATTAAAAAAGGAAAAAAAAAGACCCCCCACCCCAAATGCCTGTTTCGGCAGAGATATTTAAAGACGTCTTTCTCTAGCTTAATCTCTTTCTCTATGGCACTGTGTACGTATGCGGTGGG